GACGGTCTAGCCTGCTCCGATTCGGATAGCTAGGGAATCGGAGTGTTTCACATGTGTCAGTGACAGTTCTGTGCGTTCCGTTGAGATTTCGTGCGATGTATCCAGACCACGCCGTTTTCGTCTTCCATCTTGTAAGTAAAGTTTGACATTCTATTCGCGAGCCGAAACCGCGTCGTCGTCAAAGAAACCGTGTGCCCGGTGAGATGCGAAGACGAATTCGTGACGACGTGTTCTATCGTTGAAGCAAAGGTCACGGGAAGCGACGGCGCCGGTGACTTTGACACATCCCACGGGAGGAGGTCGTGCATTAGGTCTCGTTTTACGAGCCGATGCTCAAAGCTCTGCACTCGTCGAGCTTTAGCCCTGTGAGCCAGCTTCAAACGCGTTGTGTGTACACGTGACCCGAGAATCTATGCGCGCATAGTTGGCCCTGGCGCGCGTACTTCCGACCAAGTTCCGGTTGGCTAAGCTTGACCTCCACAAGGATACTCCGAGCGAGTGCTTTCCTCCTTGAAAGCGTTTCAAAGATTTACACAGAGGGATACGGTTGTTACCTGCTGGGCGGGTTGCGTTTAAATTTTACCTAGAAACGGACCAACCACCCGTGGACAGAAGCCTCGGTCAAATCCTGGCCGACCATTCTGGATGCTCGGTTTGCGTGGCGCGCTTAAAGCGACACCGTTGTCCACGTACGTCGTAGATTTCTGATTTCGCCGACGAAACTCTATGAAATTTCGTGGCGTGTGTGCTGAAGACTACGTGCTGTTGCCTGTTCCTCGGGGAGAATAAGTTACGACCGACCGTAAGAAACTTCGGATAGAAGTTCCACGGAATTTAGGTGACGCCCGTGATCGAAGGCCTCTCGAGAGGAGCGCCGTGTGATTCATTTATATCAATATTGGAACCCGTTGCGATTAGACAGCTGCGGTCTCGCTCTTCTCTCTCTTTGTACGCCGTTCGTCTGCTGATATTCGAACGCTTTGTTTAACAGGTAGAAAACGGTGCCTTGAAATCCTGTCGCGGACAGATAACGCGTGCTCTTCGTGGATTCGCGGTAACGGAATCGGATCGTGACGTCCGTTTGTTCGAAGCGAGCGGTCTTCGGTGACATTTGCCGTCGGTATTTCTCGCTTCCGTTCGCTTTTGTAACCACCAGACGGTTTATTCGTTCAGGGGAAAACCCTGCTCCGTTTGATTTGTTAGTTTCCCATTTAACAGGCTTCGAAACTTTTCTCTGAAAAGGTCATCGTTCTTACGCATCTTCGAATTGCGGTTGTTCGCGTCAAATGTGAGTTATGTGCTTTCGTAGAAGTTGGATAATTGTGTTAGGCAACTTGGAATTCTTCTGGTAACGCATTAGTTCGACAAGGAATCAACAAACCGTTGACACACTCTTTCCTTCTAATTATTTTGTCGGAAAGGCAGAAGTGCTGTACTACATTTATACAATAAATATAAATTTTTTAGTCGAAAAATTCAAAATGTCCGATGTCTCATATAGAATATTTGTCTGCTGATCTACTTTTTTAAATTTTCTGCGTACTCATCATTTTTCGGCCATGTGTCGCTCTCTGATAACAGTATCCGTTTAAGTTTTAATCACATTATCGCGGCATTGAGAACGTGTCAAATATAAACTCGATATGAAAATATTGATTTCCTGCATACGAGAAAGATATACATATAGACATTGTGAACGTAGGAAGAAGTAAATTATATAAATACAATATTAAAGTACAGAACATTTCACAATATTTCAATTCTTAACATTTTGACATGTGAAGTTATTGAATGAGTTCCATTCGAGAATGTCAACATACTAAAAATTACACATTTTTAAGCTGTAATTAGTATTTCATAAAGTACGCCTACGTGAGAGATGAAAGATAATGACATGAAAATTTAAACATCAAATGTTAAGTACAACTATCACGAAGATAGCGAGCGTACCAATATTTTCTCGATCCACAGCATTCCTGGAGCGTTTTTCAGTCTGGCCGTTTAATTTGAATAAATAATCGGAATATCCGAAATGAAATGTTGAAACGACGAATGCGCCGCGGGATACCAGTGTTTCTCGAAGATTTTCACGTTTGTCCGGTCAATTAAGCCGGCCTTGTTTGTGCTCGTTTACACGAACGTTCGTCGTCACGACGAGCTAATTAAACTTACAAGTGCTTGTTTTTGTCGAATGATTCACTCGCGCCGTTCTGATATCTCCGGCATACACTTTCTCTCCAGGGAACAATATCTCCTTCCCTTTCGTTTTTCGTTCATTTTCACGCGTGTATCGCAAATTTGCAGACGTGACCGTGCATTGGGGGCATGGACGTGTCGAGCGTGACTTACCGTGCATTATGCGGGAAGTGAAAATTATTTATCGAGCTCTCGATTTTCATCGAACGTTACGCGACCTGTGAAACGCGTCAGCAATGCTGGCTTACCGCTTAATTTATTTTCGATCCGGGTTTTTTACACCTCCGCGCAGAATCCTTATGAAACATGCAGAGGACATCCCCCGATGAAAAACTTGAGAAACGGGTGCAGGTGGCGAAGATATACGAGGAAACAGAAAATACCTGGCCCGTTTTGGCTGATCGTATTTCTTGAACGGACGCCTTCGTAGCTGCCCTCGGTTGCCACCTTTCGATTCGGTTTGCCTTGTTTACCTTTACCAGCTCTTTTTAATACTGGTTCGTTCAACTGGTTTTCCAAATCTGAGAGCACTTTCGACTCAGCGATCAATTTGTATTTAGTTGAATATTACTTGTAGAGTGTTAGATTATAGATACAGTGGCTGTTCGATAATTAACCGCGCTGGGGGCTCAAGGGGTATACAAAAGTATACGCACTGCGTATTCTTTATAATTCATTTTTTTTTTATTAGAAGCAGTGATCTGCAGGGAATTAATGTACGACTACTTCGTCACATGTTTTATATTTAAACGATGCATTTGTGTAAAATTGAAGTCGAGACACATTTATTATTTCTTCAAGATGTAATTCTTAACATGTTAATCTTTGCCATCGACATAGTCGACATATTTGTTCTCTCACGATTGCAAGAGACGGTAAGCTTTCAATTTTCATAGAAAGGGAATGGTAGTGATGGTCGATTATTCCCGGCGTTCAAAGCCGGCGAGTTATGCTATGCAGACTTAAAACGCACAGAAAATAATACGTTGCACCAGTTTCCTTCGATTCTCTGAAGCGTCGACGTGTATTTTTCACGCTTAAAAATCGCGATCAGTCGGTGTGCAGGTAACGCGGCTCGTACGGTTCCGATAAACTTTGTAATGGTAGAAAAATTGCCGCGATTAAGGTCGAGAACACATCCAGCAACCGCGATTTTCTCACAACACCTGCGAATTACGCGTAATTGCCGTTCCTTCGCCCTTCTCCGCGCAACGATCCGTTCCTGGGAACCTAAAGGCTGTTCATTGTCTAACACTGGCTGCATACCGTGTCACGAGACATCGTCCACGGGTAATCGTCATGTCGAATCGGAAATTAACGTTAAATCGTAGCCTCACGGTTCGTTCGTTCCTGGCCAAGGAGTTGAGAAGAAAAACATGTGGCCAGAAACGTCCGTTCACCGATTGGATCATCCGTATCGAATCACAAAACTGTTGAGTTTCCGTGTAGATTACAGCCAGTGGCGTAACTAGGCAGGGATCGGGGTGGCCTTTACTGGTCTCTTTTATGCGAGAATGGGTACCTTGTATTAGGAATTTTTAAAGTTACAAAATTTTATTACTGTGGTCTCGAATTTCTGTAGTTCGTCATTTTTGCAGTTCAAATCTGTACATTTTTAAATTTCTACGTTTTAAAGTTTATAGTCTCCCAGGTCTCTAAATGCTCAAATCTGTACGTTCTTAAATTTGTACATTTTATAGTTTCTAAACATCCAAATATCGACATTCTCAAATTTAGAAATGTCCAAACGCGTAAGCTCCAAATTTGTGCAGTTCTAAATAGTTAAATGTCAAAATTTAAATTTAATAATTTCGTATTTGAAGGAGAATCATGGCTACGCCGATGATTGCAGTTGACCATCGGTACCGTTTCGATGTAACGATTTCATTACAGGTCCAAGGAACATCGATTGAAATTATCGCGGAACGGCAATTGAAACGAGCAGTTATTACCGTGTTCTCGTTGCGTATCGAAATTGCAATCGAACGTCGGTACATTCTGTTTTCGTTGGCGAACATGAAACGGTCAGATCGATTGGAATGTTCGCAATCGTTGCGATACCGTGGGTCGAACGAAGAACGGTTTCTAACGATCGAACCGAAGGAAATCGTTAACGAGGCTTAGCGCGATAAACGCGTTTAGGCGCGGGCTTCCAAAGGCGGTGTAGTTTGGCATTGTTTTCTCAGCGTTATCGAAATTTCCTAGGAACGCCGGGCACCTAGGATTATTAACGACGTTATCGACGTTTCTAACGCGAGAAAGGCGCCGATCCGCGCCGTTTCGATAGGCGATGAACGAACGTAGAATGTAGTTTGTACGTAATGGTGTTCGAGCCGTTGGCGGTTTCGCGATATCGATTGTTTTCACGGTCCCGTGCCGTGCTTCGGAATAGTTGGCGAGCATGAGCGCGGAAAATGCGTAACATTATCTTACTCGAGCATGCACGCTTTCAAGTGGTAGGTTCGTGTTGCACTTCCCCATCGCTCTCACGGAGATTCGGAGTACATGGTGCGGGCCAACGTCGATCAAACTACCATTTCCTTCGAGAAAAACTATCTGGGAAAATTGTTACTACGAGTTGCTATCGATTGCTGTTACCAACTTCGGTTACGAACTTGCGCAATGACGAATGCTGGTTTTATAACCTTTTAGCATTCTGAGAATTTCCGACCATTCTATTTAAGCTACAGCATGGAATTTATACTTTCTTTCACTATACATGCCAATTTTATGAATACATTTACGTAGAGGTTCTATACGTGTGGATTACTCTACAGGCATATGTGAATTTGACATATGTGGATTTTATACACATATTATGTAAGTCATTTTACTTACATACGTGGATTATATGTTTTGCCTTTATTTTCAATTCTTAAGCATCTCGATATAATTATACATGTATATACTGATATATGTCTAATTATCTCACATG